AAGGCATTTGACCACTAACCAGAAGGCTGATGGTTCAAACTCACCAGCCACTCCTCGGAAGGAAGGTTGGGCAATCTACTTCCATAGTGGTACCACCTCGGAAACCCAAGGAGGGGTCGCTATGAGTCAGATTCAACTCCACGGCAGTGAGTTTTTTATGTGCTCAATATGTAGCTTCAAGCCATAAGAGAGGAGATACATGATGAGGAATACAGCAGTAACTTGTGTTTTGTGGATATAAGATGCCAACATTTCAGATGAGTGGGGTAAAACATTATAAAAAAATCAATACTTAGCAATGAAGTTAAATTTATAATAGAACCTCTTTTTTATAATATATCATCTTACATCCTGAGAAATAAAGTTTTCATCACTTTAAATTTTATGTGTATTTAAAGAATAAAAATGTAAATAAATATTATCCTATCAAATTAGCTGGTAAAGTGGTTGCAGATGTTATGCCTATGCTTGGCTTTGTATGTGATTGTTCCAGCCTTGAAAGACATATACAAATAAAGTCATTTTTCATTCTTATTTTGTGCAGAGCAAGATTGTGAACGATGTTTGTACAAAACAAAATTCCATCTCCAGCAAACTCAAAGAGTGCTGTGAAAAGACAATACTGGAATGTGCCGCGTGCATAATTTACTTAGATAAAGATGAGAAGCCAAAGGACTTATCACCAAGAGAAGCAAAATTTACTGACAGCAAAGATGTTTGTCAACACCAAGATGCTGACCAAGATAATTTCATGAATGAGTAATGTACTCTATGTTCAAATTTATAAGCTAAAGAGAAAGAAACTTATAAGACTTTGCCTATTTTGGTTAATTTAGTGGGAAGGGATGTAGAACCATTTAATTCATTGGGTATCATAATTTTTCAAAAACATGGTTACAGATTATAGTATTTTGTGTAATTTTCAGAAAAAGCAATTGTGTTATTATAATTATAATTAACATTTATTGAATCCTTGATTTCTGCCAGGCAAAGAGTTTAGTACTTTGTATGTTTTATCTATTTTAATTCTCACAAAAAACAGATAAAACAGGTAAAAATTTCCCCAGGTTTTGTGATGAGTGTACTGAAGTACAAAGAAGTGACTTGTTCAAGTTTCACACTAAAAACTGGCAGAGTAAGGATTTGACCCTAGAACATCTGGCCCAAGAAACTGTAGGCTTAAGCACCATGCTGTTGTTGTTGTTACATGCTGTTGAGTCAGCCTCGACTCATAGCAACCCCTCCCTGGGTTTCAGAGGCAGTTTCACTACGGAAGTAGATTGCCCAACCTTCCTTCCAAGGAGTGGCTGGTGGGTTTGAACCGCCAGCCTTCTGGTTAGCAGTCAAGTGCCTTAGGCACTATGCTACCAGAGCTCCCAACACCATGCTGTACTACCATGTAACTGTTGTTGTTGTTTGTTGTCGAGTCAGCCCTGACTCATAGCGATCCCTCCTTGGGTTTCCGAGGTGGTATCACTGCAGAAGTAGATTGCTCAACCTTCCTTCCGAGAAGTGGCTGGTGGGTATGAACCACCAGCCTTCTGGTTAGCAGTCAAGTACCTTAAGCACTATGCTACCAGAACTCCTACCATGTAACTATTAAGGGAAATAATAGAGGGCTTGGAGCCACAGGAAGTGGGCTTGCACCTGCGGTAAGTTAACTTCTCTGTGCTTCAGTTCATTATATACAAATACTCACATAAGAATATTAATTCACTGGGAACAAAATATATTCCCAAGACTTTACTAGGTTAGACAGAGGTTCTATCCTCAGGAAGCTTTCATCCATCTTGAGTGAGATGTGGGAAGAGACAGATTTATAAATAAGTAAGTATAAAACAGTTTATTTAGTTCTGGCAGGACTAAATGCTGGTTATAATGGAGACAGAGGAAGAAGTGGTCAATTGTATCTGGAACTCTGGAAAGGCTTGATAGGGGAGATGACACTTGAGGAAATTTGGTAGTTTAGATGGAACGCACATAGAAATGTGAAGTTTCTCGGTGTGCATATGGTAGTGATCAAGCAAGCATGCTAAGTAACAGGATGCCATTAAAGGGTTTATATTGAATAGGAGTGATCTTTGTCGACGTCATCATTGCCATCATTATAGATAACAGGATAGTGGCTGGAGCCATAGGGAGAAAGAACAGAGCAACAATGAACAGGTTAAGTCAGATGCAGGGTTTCAAGCTGCAGTCTTTTTCCATGTGAATATTTGAGGCAAGACCTCGATGGATACCCCAGTCTAAGGTAGCCTTTCAGGAGTTTTTGTTTGCAACATTTAAGGGGTGTGTTTCTAGTTAAATTTTTTTTTCCCCCTGTGGAAAGGGTACATGTCTTAGATTTTGAAAGGATTTTTTATTTCTCTGAAGTTCAAGATCTATTACTCTAGGCTGAGGGAATATATTCCACAAATGAAACTGAGAATACAGATGGAGAAAATGGACAGGCAGTGTCAGGGAGACCAAAATTAATCAACAAGGTCAATGGCTAAAAAAAGGGGCTGGGGAATTGAAAAGAATTCCCTGGATTTGTGCTACTTTTATTAAGTACTATTTTTTACAAAACATGGATGTTGTTGTTGTTATGTGCCGTCGAGTCGGCCCCGACTCATAGCGACCCCTCCTTGGGTTTCC